GGCCAGTGTCGCACTCTTTCTGAAATGGGTTCGAATATTTATTTGACCTAGGCAGGGAGGCCTTTTAAAAGCAGAGAAAGACACGCCAGAAAACCAAAGTGCAGAGAGATTTGATTGAATGAAAATGAGAAATATTTTTAGGACTTCTGATTGAGTAAGACCAGAGGGTCGCTGACTCAGAGGCATGGCGTTTGGGTTGAGTTTCAAGTCCCGCAAACCCCATTCTCTAAGCAGTCAGCTCTGAGGGGTAGAGGGAGGCGCTCTCACCTGTGCACACTGTAGACATGCGGCGGGAACATACCCTGCAAATGGCAACAGCCCAAAGGCCCACCCACAGGGAGCGGGTAGATGAAGCTGCTGTGTTTCCGAAATGGAAGACGAGACAGCAGCGAATGAAGTATAGCTACATGGAACACAAGAAAAATCTCAAGGTGAGTTAGAAAAGATGTTGGATAAGTAAGAAATCTGATGACACATAATAGGTCTCACACAATGTTGTGCTCATCACATGACACATTGTCACGCACACATACCCCTGCTTTTGAAAAATCAACGAATGGCTATAGGCTGCATTGAGCAGCCTGACTTCAACAACACCGTGGAAGCAGCTCTTCCCAGCTCCGAGGCTGTTGATGCTGAAGCCGTCTGCAGAGGGTGCTTTCCTAAGTGCCAAATTGGAGAGGCACACTAACTTCCTTGCCACAGAAATAGAACTTTTTACAAGAGGCCATTTACTATGAGACCAGACTACGTGTAAAACATGCGTCCTTGAGTTCACATGTGGAGAGGGACGTTGTACAAACACATTCCTGACCCTGGCGTCTGAGAGAAAAGATGCGCCCACCTGGGGGAAACAGGACACAACTGCAGAGGATTGGCCTCGTTAGCAACCACGTTCGTTACTTGCAGAATTTGTTGTTAGCTGCCCCAGAGCCAGTCCCTAGCTCATGGTGACCCTGCAGACCATGGAACAAAATGCTGCCCTGTCCTGTGCCCTCCCACGACAGTTGCTGTCATACATAAGATGTGCACCGGCCACTTTTCATAGACAGATGGGCACGCCATTATCCCTACTCCACGTTATCCTGGATGCTCTCCTCAAACCGATTCCACCTCGTGATAGCCCACAAGACTCCCACCACACCAGGTAGCCCACACGACAGGCGGTGATAAATGCCGGAGGTGCTCGGCCAAGCACGGAACCTGAGCATTCTGCACACAAGGTGAGACTTTGACCACCGAACCCGATTATCTCCAGTGACAGACAGATCCCACGCAAAACGGAGCGGGATTGAGAGCAGGCTCTCCTGGGCCTCTGGGCAAAGCAGCCCTCAGCTGCTCCACCACCACCAATGATCATCCAGGAAGCAAAGCTGCTGCCTGTTGCCGAACGCGTGGTGTCTGGGCGTGGACAAGAAGACAGAAAGCATGCACTGGGAGGCAGCTAGGCAGCATCAGGAAAAGCCAACAAAGTCATTGCTCCTTTTCATTTCCTCAGGCGACTGATTTCGAGCTGCCGGAGCAAGGTATAGAGCGTCCACACCATCAGGCTGGTGGAGTCTGGAAGGCAGGGCCAGTGAGGGTCAGTTTTGTGTCCCCTACCCACTCCAGGAGGAAACTCAACCACACCCTCTTGGGAATGCTCGCTTTGAAAAGCGCTCTGTAATAACTAACATCGTCCTTGCCGCATTTTTATTGGGCATATTCCCATGAGCTTTATCCAGCAGCCTGGGAGACAGTGGTATTACTTCACATCGCTCAGTGTCGGAGAAGAAAGGAGGGGCCAGTTTAGGTACTTGCTCAGTTACCGGTTGATGCCAGCGTTGGGCTGCCACAGAACCGGCAGTGCTTCATGCCAGGGCGCAGGG